GCGTCTTCCTGGGGTTCCCCCCTGACGCGCCTGGGTGGCAGTTTTACCACCCCACCTCTCGCCGTGTTCTGTCCTCCCAGGACGTCACGTTTGACGAGTCGGTCCCCTACTACCGCCTCTTCCCCTACCGCACTCCGTCCCTCCCCCCACCCCCACTCTTCCTGGTACCAGGTCCCCCCCAGGTAGACCCCCTCCCCCCTCAGGGTCCTGCCCCTTCAGGTGTGTCCCAGGTAGACGCAGTCGAGCCTGTCGAGGTCACTGGTGACTCTGGTGCTGCTGAGGGTGCTGAGGCTGGGGGTGCTGTACCTGGGGGTGCGGAGCCTAGGGGTGCTGGGCCTGGGGGTGCTACGTCTGGGGGTGCTGAGCCTAGGGGTGCTGAGCCTAGGGGTGCTGAGCCTGGGGGTGCTGAGCCTAGGGGTGCTGAGCCTTGGGGTGCTGAGCCTGGGGGTGCTGAGCCTGGGGGTGCTGAGCCTAGGGGTGCTGAGCCTGGGGGTGCTGAGCCTAGGGGTGCTACGTCTGGGGGTGCTGAGCCTAGGGGTGCTACGCCTTGGGGTGCTGAGCCTGGAGGTGCTCTGCCTGGAGGTTCTCCGAGTGCTTCGTCTCGCCGGGAGCCACTTTCGCCACAGGAGCTGCGTGAGTGGTTTGCCCGGCGCTGGAGGCGTGCTGCTGGTGCTGGAGGTCCTTCGGCTGCTGAGGGTGCTGCGGTCGCGGGTCCCGGAGGTGCTCGTCCTGGGTGCACTGGAGCTGGTGCTGCTGAGGGTGTTGGCGCTGAGACTACCGCTGGCAGTCCTACTGGGGGTGCTCCTGGTGCTGCTGGAGGTTCTGGAGCTACTGGTGGTGCTGCTGGAGCGGGTGCTCCTGCTGAGGGTTCTGGTGCTATCCCTGCTGCTTCTAGCGTCGCCGCGCGGCCTCGACCGTACTTCGTTCCACTCCTGCAGCAGGTTCTTGGTCTTCCACCTTCTACTGGTCCTCCTCCTCCCTTAGAGTGTCCACAGCCTGTCTCGTCCCAGCTACAGTTGCAGCCTACCTCCCCTTTGCCTGCTCCTTCTCCCTACACTGGTCCTACTGGAGGTCTGGCTGAGCGTCGTGAGCCTGCGTCTCGCCCTGCGTCGCCTGTCCGTGCTGCTCGCACTAGTGGTCGCGGTTCGCGTCAGCGTCCTCCTCCTGTCCCTGGCACGCACCGGATGTCTCTGCGTCCGTCCACTGCTCCTCTGCGTGCCCCTTTGCCTTCTCCTCCTGAGTCCTCTCTTCCTGCTCTTGCCGACCCGGAGTCGGACTCTCTTCGTGCTGCCAGTCCTACTGTCACGCGTCTCCTTGCTACTGTTGTCACTGACCCTTCTTTCGAGTCTACTGCTGCGTCTGCTCTCGTTACTGAGCTCGTCGACTTTGCTGCTCGCTGTCGCTTAGACTACGCTGCTAGTCTCGTCGCTGAGTCTGAGTCTGTCTGTCCTCCGTCCGTCGGGGGTGAGTGTGCCCTTGGCACGGACGTCCTTGAGGACAGGCAGGAGGAGTTCCAGTGTCTGGCAGCTGCCTCACCTCATCTCGTGTCCGTACTGCTTATCCCTGAGGGAGACCCGGATGCACTTGACATCCCGACTCCGCGCTCTTACGCGGAGGCGATAGAGGGTCCCTACTCCTCTCAGTGGCAGGCAGCTATGGATGCAGAGATGGCTTCCTGGAAGTCCACAGGCACCTACGTTGACGCTGTCCCCCCTCCTGGGGTGAACATCGTCAGTGGCATGTGGATCTTCAGGGTGAAGCGGCCGCCGGGTTCTCCGCCTGTCTTCAAGGCGCGTTACGTGGCTCGTGGCTTCAGTCAGCGGCAGGGAGTTGACTACTTTCAGACCTTCTCCCCCACCCCGAAGATGACCACTCTTCGGGTACTGCTGCACGTTGCTGCTCACCGTGACTACGAGCTGCACTCTCTTGACTTCAGCACAGCTTTCTTGCAGGGCAGCCTGCACGAGGAGATCTGGCTGCGTCGCCCACCTGGCTTCACTGGGTCTTTCCCTCCTGGTACCCAGTGGAGTCTCCGGCGTCCAGTCTACGGTCTCCGCCAGGCGCCACGTGAGTGGCACGACACACTGAGGACTACGCTTGCGGCTCTTGGGTTTGCTCCTTCTACTGCCGACCCGTCGCTGTTTCTACGCACCGACACCTCTCTGCCGCCGTTCTACATCCTTGTGTACGTCGACGACTTGGTCTTTGCCACAGCTGACACTGCTGGACTCGCCTACGTGAAGTCCGAGCTGCAGAAGAGACACACGTGCACAGACCTGGGTGAACTGCGCAGCTACCTTGGCTTGCAGATCACCCGGGACAGAGCACGCCGCACCATTACCCTGACTCAGTCACACATGGTGCAGCAGGTCCTTCAGCGCTTCGGCTTCACGTACTCCTCGCCTCAGGCCACTCCTCTGTCTACTCGCCACTCGCTCTCAGCTCTGCCTTCGGATGAGTCCGTAGAGTCGAGTGGCCCGTACCCAGAGCTTGTTGGCTGCCTCATGTACCTGATGACCTGCACACGACCTGACCTTGCATACCCTCTTAGCATTCTTGCACGCTATGTTGCTCCTGGGAGACACAGACCAGAGCACATGGCTGCAGCGAAGAGGGTGTTGCGCTACTTGTGCAGTACGTCGGGCATGGGGCTAGTGCTTGGAGGGCGGAGTCCAGTGGTCCTCACTGGGCACGCGGACGCTTCTTGGGCTGACGACCAGGCTACGCAGCGGTCGTCACAGGGTTACACCTTCAGCCTTGGTTCCGGCTCTGTTTCGTGGCGGGCTACTCGCTCGTCTTCTGTTCTTGGCTCGAATTGTGAGGCTGAGATCTACGCCGGGGCCATGGCTGCACAGGAGCTTCGCTGGCTCACCTACCTGCTGACCGACCTTGGAGAGCCGCCTCGTTCTCCTCCAGTCCTGTACGTAGACAACAAGGCCATGCTGGCCTTGTGTCGAGAGCAGCGACTGGAGCACAGAACAAAGCACATTGCTCTCCGCTACTTCCTTGCTCGTGAGCTACTGCAACGTGGACAGTTGCGGCTTGCGTACGTGGCCTCTGAGGCCAACACTGCTGATGTCTTCACCAAGGCACTTCCGCCTTGTGATCATCAGCGCTTCTGCACTCAGCTGGGTCTTGTGCCCGTCTTGCCTCACTTGCTCTCCTCTTGACCTTGCTTGTACTCTCACATATATATATACCTGCTCTTGCTTGTCTAGCTTTATATATATGTGTGTACTCTTGCATGTGAACTGGCCGTGTGGCCTTGACCCTGTGCTCGGACTGTGTGGTGACTTTGTGATCCACCCTGAGCTTTCCTTTGCTTTGCTTTGCTTGACTGGTCTTGTGACCCCTTGTTCTCCCCCACTTTGCCTATGGGGGTGTGTCAGAACATTGTAGCTTATGCTGTTATGTAGGCTATAGTGGGGTATCCCATAGGGGGTACAACCAATTAGGGTTTCATATTTGTACTCACTTCATTTCATAGTCCATTCATTCTCGTTCTCATTATCACAGGAATTCATTCAAAAGACATCACAGATTATGTTCACGTCTCATACTGCCTGGCAAAGTTTTCGACACGTGTCCAATATTTACCCGGACAAAAACTAAAACCCAATCGGAAAGGGATGCGACTCAGGAGGCATCAACCCTAAACTCGGGGAGGCATCAACCCTAAACACCCATGGGTTCCCGTGTTTAGGGTTGATCCCTCCCGAAAAGGCGTCCAGGTTCCCTAGGGGTTTTATATTTTCGGGCTGCCCTATCAGTTCGAGCTGGGAAAAGTGAAATGTAAAATGGACACGTGTCGTAAATTTTTGCCTGCAGTACCAACTTTGAACATAATGTGGGATGTCGCTTGAGAGAAATCCCATTGAGTCGCACTGTTTGAGTAAACCCTGTGAGCATATATGAAAGAATATGGAAAACCAAGTAGCCAGCACATACTTTCCCGAGATAAAACAAAGGCTGAACACGGTTAAGCGTGAATCATTAAGGCTTTCTGAGGTGCAGTACGGTGGTCGTTTGAACAACCCATTCAAGGTACACCCCTCCCTCAGGAAACCGCCCTTGGGTGAGCGCGGGAGCCTCTCTGTAATTAGTGTACACGAAAATTAGGTTTGGAAACGTGGCAATTAGTGTACAATCTTCTCGCGAGAAACTGTGAATATGCGGCGATTCCAGTCTTCCAATTTTAGGGTTCTCATCATGCCGTGGATAAATACTTTCAGATGGATACAGTCTCTGAGCTGTAGCAGGCTGCGTTGTACCACATGGCGAGCCGCCGTTCGCCTACTGCCGCGAGTCCCGACAACCGAGGCCACGTGACGACAGACTTCACCAGCTGCACTTCCTGTCAAAATGACTTTCGGGACCATCTGGGCGATTATCATCCGATGATTTTGGAGGCTCCCTGACAGCCGTCCGAAGAGTTTCGCATCGCATGGCATTACTCAGGAAAACTGGAAGGGGCGAGAGGGAATGGGGAGGAGACTCTCCTCGGAAGAAGGAGAATTGTCCGGGGGGGGGGGGGGGGGAAGAAGGAGAATTGTCGCTTCCCACCCGCGCGCGTATACGCGCGCCTATAAGCAGATCTGAAGGGGAACCCAGTGATTTTCGCCGGCTTCTACTATCCCTGCCGCACCACCTGCCCCACCTGCCCCACCACCCCCACCACCTGCCCCGACCTACTACTAGATGTGACATCCAGGTTACGATCATGTCACATCTAGTAGTACCCACGTCTGCGAGACGTGACAATCACAAGCAACTCCTCGCGCTCTCGCTCCCCTCTCCTCCCGCCGCTGCTGCTGCTGCCGCTGCTGGACCTGATTTGAAGGCACTTTGCCTCTGCTAGTATCGGCCATCGGGTGGTATAGGCGTCTGCTGCTCACCACGGTATCATCCGCCGCTCCGCCTCCTCCGCCGCCCCTTCTCCGCCGGCCCCTCCTCCGCCGCTCCTTCTCCGCCGCTCGTTGAACGAGTTCTGCGCGCCCGTCATGTCGCGCCGGGACTTTCAGCCAGTTGCGGCGCCAGCGGCCGGTCTCGTTGCCCTGCTGCTCGTCGCAGCGGCAGCTGGCGGAGTGCGCGGATCGGGGGGGAATGCGGCGCTACCCCGCAAGCTGGCCGCGGGCGGAAGCGGAAACAGTGCCGCGGCGGAGCCCGCGGCGGAGCTAGTGAAGGATTCCCCCCGTGCTTCCGTTTCCGCGGAGGGGGACGGGCTTGTAGTGAAGGAATCCGCGCCTTCCGCCAGTGGCGGTGAGACGGACGCACAAATTCCGCCGCTGCAGCTGATTCTGGCGGAAGAAGGGCGCGCGGAGGGCGCAGTGTGCTTGGACGGATCGGCCCCTGGGTTCTACTATCGGAAGGGCTACGGCTCGGGACAGAACAACTGGTTGCTGTTTTACGAGGTGTGACTAAAACGAACGACTTCCGTCTTTCTCCTTTTCTTCAATCGTCACTAATTCTCTCTTACCATCCGCCTCCCTTGTTTGCCCTCCATCCCCTGCTTGCTTACCTTTACTGTTTTTCTTACCCTCCCTTACCTTCCATTCCGCCTCCCTTCCCCTCCCCCCACCCCCCTCCGCTTTCCCTCCACTCTCCCCTTCCGCCCGCATTACAGGGCGGCGCGTGGTGCGCGACTCCCCACGGCTGCGCGTACAGGGCGCACACGCGCCTGGAGTCCACGGACCACGCGGTTCCAGTGGCGGAGATGGTGGATCCGCAGGATGGCAGCATGAACGGCATGCTTAGCTCCAACCGCACCGTCAACCCTGGTGAGGCTCATCCATAGCTGCTTCATCGCACCACACCGCACCGCGCTGCACCGCACACTTGATCTGCAGGATGGCAGCATGAACGGCATGCTCAGTTCCAACCGCACCGTCAACCCTGGTGAGGATCGTCCGTAGTTGTGCTACACCGCACTGCACCGCACTGCACCGCACTGCACCGCACACTAGATCCGCAGAACGGCAGCATGAACGGCATGCTGAGCTCCAACCGCACCGTCAACCCTGGTGAGGATCCGTAGCTGCTGCTACACCGCACCACACCGCACCGCACCGCACTGCACCGTCAACCCTGGTGAGGACGCTGGTGAGCATGACTTGACACCCTCTTCTGGAGAGCAGCTCAAACCCATTGACGTCTCTGCTGAGGATTCTTCTGCTGCCATCGCTGAATATGTTCAGCGCAGCATGGCAGCACAGCAACGCCGTTGATACGCCTGTTAACCTTCCGCGGCCACCTCTCTTCACCTGCCGTGCTGACACCGCCTCGCATCCACCCCTGTTCCCTCCATCCCCCCACCAGGCTTCTACAACTGGAACGCCGTCTATTTCATCTACTGCGATGGCGGCTCCTTCTCAGGCCACCAGGACCAGCCCGTTCGCTTCAATGTCAGTCATCTCTCACCTGCCTCTCCCTCACCTGCCTCTCTGCCTCTCCGCCTCTCCGCCTCTCCGCCTCTCCGCCTCTCCGCCTCTCGCCGCTCATACCCTCCTCCTCTCCCCCTCTTCCTCTCTCCCCCTCACCGCCTCTCCCTATCCCCCTCTTTACATCTCCGCCTCTCAGTCTCTCCTCCTCTCCGCCTGTTCGTCTCTCCCTACACCTTTTTGCATTCCCTCTCTCTCCGCCTCTCCACCTCTCCGCTTCTCGTCGTGCTGTTTCTTCCTTCTCATTCTCCCCTCCCCGAGTCCACCTCCCTCCCAGCCCACGGCATTCCCCACCCCAGTACTTTCGGGAAAATCTAGGCTGATTATTTGAGGCGCCTCAAAAACCAACCCAAGGCGTCACGTGAGCAATGAGTCGTCCCCCTGATGCGTGTGTACGACTCCGGATGCTTGTGTGTAGTGACAATTTCGCTCTCGCCGTGTTTCATATTCGCGTTTGCTCTAGCTACCTTCATGATCGACGTAAGTCCTTCCTGATTCGCCTTCCTCCCTTTCATAACCCTCCCCCCTCTTCCCCATCCCTCCCCGCAGACCGCACGACAGTGGCCAAGACTCGGAAGGCCCCTATCAGACGTCCCATCTCAGACGACTCACAGATCCAGGTGCGAGGGGTCAAGACGCGTCCTGGTGGGGCCAAGTGGAGTTTTGGCCACTCACAGATCTAGGTGCGAGTTTTGAGGCGTCGCTCAGAAGTAGACTCCGAGTGGCCCCATCCCACTAGGACACGTCTCAGCTCAGTCGATTCCCATATCCAATTGCAAGTTTTGAGACGCCTCAGAAGGACGAGTCCCATTTCAGACGACTCACATATCGAGGTGCGAGGACGCCGAGGAAGATTGTGTGTGTGTGTGAGGAATATTGTGTTTGTGTGTGTGTGTGTGTGTGTGTGTGTGTGTGTGTGTGTGTGCGTGTCCGTGTGTGTGTGTGTGTGTGTGTGTGTGTGTGAGTGTTTGTGTGTGTGTGTGTGTGGGGAAGATTGTGTTTGTGTGTGTGTGTGAGGAAGATTGTGTTTGTGTGTGTGTGTGTGTGTGTGTGTATGTGTGTGTGTGTTTGTGTGTGTGAGTGTGTGAGGAAGATTGTGTTTGTGTGTGTGTGTGTGTGTGTGTGTGAGGAAGATTGTGTTTGTGTGTGTGTGTGTGTGTGTGTTTGTGTGTGTGAGTGTGTGAGGAAGATTGTGTTTGTGTGTGTGTGTGTGTGTGTGAGTGCATGTGTGTGCCTGTGTATGCGTGTGTGTGTACATGTGTGTGCGTGCGTGTGTGCGTGTGTGCGTGCGTGCGTGCATGTGTGTGTGTGCGTGTGTTTCGCTTCAAAAACCGTTGAGAAAATTGCTTGTACGAATGTGTATGTAGGGCAGAAAGGAGGCTCCACCGTTTCTGTGCACTCGCTTTTCCTACCCTCCCCGACTCCATTTCTTCTTGTTCCCCCCAACCGTGCCAGCAGGATGTCAGCCCACTCCCGTAGTGCCTGTGCCAGGCAAGAAGTAGTGCTCCAGTAGTGCCTGTGCCTGTGCTCAGGAAACAAGTGTTCCATTCGCTGCAATGCTTCCTTCTTCTCCTCTCCATCTCTTCCTCCCCCCGCCTCCAATATTTCTCACCCCCCCCACCGCTCTCCGCCAGGTGATCGTGAGGGTGCGAGGCCCTGAGCTGGCAGGGGCCTCAGGGGCGCAGTGCGTGAGGGGAGGTCCAGCCCACCTCGCTCATGCTCGTGAAACCGGACAATCCAGGCGTGGCGGGCAGGGCAGGCGCTGCGGACAGGGAAGGCACGCGCGAGCTCTTTGAGCTTGACCACGTGGCGGGGGAGGGCGCATCGCAGGTATGCATGCACGGGGACGGACGCTCCTGGGGCTATTGAATTGAGGAGGGTGGGGATAAAGCTGTCACAGGTACGCATGGGGACGGGCGCTCTTGTAGCTTTTGAAGGAGGTGGGGGAGAAAGGGGGGGGTGAGACTGGAGGGGTAAGGGCGTCACAGGTACTCGTGGAGATCCCAGATTTTCGCTTTGCTCATCCCCCCCCGTCACCCCCTCACTCCTCCTCTTTCCCGCCCCTCCCTTTTCCCCAGCAGGAAAGGTTTGAGCTGGAAAGGCGGCCCGCGTGAACCCAGTATTCCCTTCCCGCCCTTCTTTTATCACCCACCACCTCTCACCCTTCTTTCTTCTCCGGTGGGAGCACTTGCTTGTGCACACAGCCCTTTGAGGGGCCTCAGAGCCACCCCTCACCTCGCTCCTCCCTTTCTCCCGCACCCCCCTCACCTCACTCCTCCCATTTTCCCCGCCCCCCTTATCCCCCACTCCTCCCCTTCCCCTTCCCCCCGTCAGGAGGAGATGTTTGAGCTGGCAGGGCGGCCCATGGTGGAAAACTGCCTCGCCGGCTACAACAGCACCCTCTTCGCCTATGGCCAGGTTCGTCCTATATGGTCAGGTGCGTCCTATACGGCCAGGTTCGACTTATATGGGCTTAAGGGTTCAGGCTGGCCAGGCTCGTCCATTATCAGCTGCCTGCAATCTTGCTTGTCGCCGGATTTGTATTGCTCCACCCTTCCATCCTCTTGCCACTTACCTCATCCCTGAAAGCCTCCTTCTTAATGCTCTCCTCCCTTTGTTTCCCGCACTCTCTCTACCTGATGGAATTCCAGACTGGCAGCGGAAAGACTTATACAATGTTCGGAGATGGCGTGGGGAAGGATGAAGATGAGTTGGGGCAAGAATGGGGAATCATCCTGCGTGTGTTCCACCTGCTTTTCACCCTGATGGAACATGTATGTCTCCCGCTGCCTGCCTGCGTCCTGCTGTCTGCTGTGTGCTACTTGCATTGTGCTGTTGTTCTGCTTCCAAACGGGGGCATGTTTTTTATGCCTCTCTGTCCGCCCCTCCTTCCCACTTCCCCCTGACAGGAGAAGAAGCAGAGGCCGAGTGAGCACCCGGAGTTCACATGCGTGTGCTCGTTTCTGGAGATTTACAACGAGACCCTCAGGGTGGTACCAACTTAAGTGTGAGTGGTGCAGCTTGCATGTGAGTGGTGCAGCTTGCATGTGAGTGGTGCAGCTTGCATGTGAGTGCTGGGACCTGCATGTGAGTGCTGCAAATGTGGTGTGCTCGTGCTGGCCTTGGCAGACGGTGTTTCCTCATGCTTGTGTGTGTCAGGAGGACCCCAGTGTGGCCTGATTCGCTGGCTGGGCTCGTCCATGCACCACAAGTTTCCCGTTCACGTCACGCCTGATGTGCGTGATTCGCGTGAACTTTGACGTGCATTGCTTCCCCGCCCCTCGCTACCTCGTCCTCACATTTCAGGGACTAGCACACAAGAGGGCGGCAAGGGTGTGTATGTGAGCAACCTCCACAAGGAGAAGGTCACCAGCTCTTCTCAAGTCATGCTGCTTATCAAGCAGGTGAGCTGCCTTAACTTCTGAGGCGCCTCAAAAGGAGGTCACCTGCCTCTCTCAAGTCATGGGGCAGATCCTGCTTGTGAGTTGAGTTTGCACTCTGCTTTTTCTTTGCAGAGTCGTGGATGCATCATGGGGTGTTTGGGAGTCACTTCTGAGAATTCTCAAAAGTGTTTAAATAGGTGAGGCAGGAACAACTGAGAAAGAGATTACAATTGTAAACCGTTAGTGTTTGGGAGAATTGGGGATTGAAGGATTGTGGTGACACACGCAGGGTAAGCCGTGTATGTGATGCGCGCATTGTTGCGTTATTGCACAACACTAAGGGTATTCGCATTGTTGCAAGCGTGTGCAGGGAGCGAAGAACCGGCAAACGGCGGTGACGAACATGAACAGAGATAGCAGTCGCTCTCACTGTGTTTTCATATGCAAGATTGAGAGCACGGTAAGTGGTGGCACGGCGTGTACGCCACTTGCTTCTCTCACTTGCTTCTCTCACTTGCTTCTCTCACTTGCTTCTCTCACTTGCTCCTCTCACTTGCGTCTCTCACTTGCTTCTCTCACTTGGTCTACTCGCTTTTCTCACTTGCTCTACTCACTTGCCCGTGTCTCGCGCTGCAGTGGATCGCCAGCGGCAACGACATGCAGCGCTTCAGTCTGCTCAACCTTGTTGACCTCGCAGGCTCCGAAAGGTACCCCGCTCGCTTGTCACGCCTGATTGCACTGAAAGGCACGCCTGACGTGCCAGTGTCACCTCTTACCACCTCTTGACCTCGCACTTTCGATAATTAGTTTTGTAGTGTACCGGCCGCCTGGAGTGCGCATGCAACGCTGATCATGCTCCGTACTTGTACCACATACCACCCACATACTGTCCCCGTCCAGCCCCACTACTGCTCTCCACCCCTATTGAACCCCTCATCACCCCTCTCCACCTGTCGCACGCAGTCAGGGACCACCGAGGAATTATCTGCTACCTATCCTGCCCACACTCTCCTGCACTTCACCCTGTCCACCATTCTCCACCCCTGGCAGGTTGGACTCGACAGGGGCCGTGGGACAACGGCGCACTGAGGCGAACTTCATTAACAAGTCCCACTCCCACCTCGGGTTTGCCCCCTCTCTCTCCCTTGCCTGTGTATGCTGTCCGTGCTGCACTCACTTTTCTTTCTCACACTTTCCTGAGGTCCAAGAGCCCAAAGTGCACCAACCAGCGCTGTACTTCTTCTCATCCCAGCTCGGTTTTGTCAGTTCTCTCCCTCGCTATGTTTGCTGTGCATGCTTATTGAGTGCCCCACAAACAAAAAGACTAACTATGGTCAGCTATATTGCCTCAGCTGTTCTTACTGTCCAATGTCCTGTCACTGTTGTCATGCAACTTGGGTGCCTTCTCTGTTCCGTGTTGTTCATGTGCTGGTCACCAGACGGGTGATGCTGAAGCTGCAGCAGGCGGCGTCGCACGTGCCGTACCGAGATTCTAAGCTCACCCACCTCCTCCAGGTGAACGCCCTTGCTCCTCCAAGTGAACGCCTTTGCTCTTGCAGGTGAAATAACCGCGTGACATCCGTTTATTTTCTAGCATTTTAGAAACAAACAAAGGTTCCTGCCTCGTCTTCTTCCTCCAGTGGATGCTTTGCTCCTCCAGCTGAGCAGCCTTGATCCTCTAGGTGAACACCCTTCCTCATCCAAGTTGCTAATTATATCTCATGGCTTCCCTGCTTTTATTATGACTCTGTGCACAAACAGCCGGTCCCTCACTCCCCTTCATGGCACCTCTGTCCTTCTATTCACCAACATTTCATCTCGAATGCAGGACTCCCTTGGCGGAAACTCGAGGACTAATATGATTGCGTGCATCAGCCCGGCTGCAGAGTAAGTGCTGGGAGCTGCAGAGTAAGTGCTGAGAGCTGCAGAGTAAGTGCTGAGAGCTGCAGAGTAAGTGCTGAGAGCTGCAGAGTAAGTGCTGAGAGCTGCAGAGTAAGTGCTGAGAGCTGCAGAGTAAGTGCTGAGAGCTGCAGAGTAAGTGCTGAGAGCTGCAGAGTAAGTGCTGAGAGCTGCAGAGTAAGTGCTGAGAGCTGCAGAGTAAGTGCTGAGAGCTGCAGAGTAAGTGCTGAGAGCTGCAGAGTAAGTGCTGAGATGTCCGAAAGCTGCATCTTGTGACTCTTCCGCGTTGAGCTGACTCACCTCCAAGAGATTATCTAATGGACTATCTCATGTGTCTTCTGTCTCTCCCCCACCCGCAGGTGGCACCACGAGTCGCTCAGCACGCTCAGGTTCGCAGTAGGGGCGAGGGAGGTGCGCAACAAGGCAGTGGTGAACGAGGCCGCGATGGGTCAGCAGGGCGCCCTGCAGAAGGAAAACGCGCGGCTCAAGGTGCGATTTTCCCTGCCCTGATACAGTGCCCTGCTCCTCACAGTAACCGCTCACTGACGTGTCAAATCTCCACAGTGGGCTTTCCCTTCAGAGGGCGGTTTCTGTTCCCAACTAAGGGTACCATGCTCCCTGCCCTGCTGCCCTCCTTCCCTTCATAATAGACGCTGCCGCTCCTTCTCTCCACGTTCTGTGGCTCTGCCCACATTGTATCCTCTATCCCGCTCCACTCCCCTCCCCTCTCGCCATGACAGCAATCAGCAATCAGCATTGGAGCAAGTCCCTACTCCAGTGCTCGCTTGCCTCCGTCCCCTTCACTTACCTCCCTCCTACCTACCCTTCCTCTGTCGTTCCTCCCGCTCCCGCCTCCTTCTTCCTTCCTCCCTCTTTCCAACCTCACAGGACAATATTCACCGCATATGTGAGCTTATGCATGAGCTCTGCACCTGCGGAGCCTATCTGAGCCTGGGAGAGGGGTTAGCGACAATGGAGGAGGGGGAAGGGAAGGAGGAAGAGGTGGAAGGGGAGGAGGAGGTGGTGGATGGGGAGGAGGAGGAGGTGGAGGGGGAGGAGGAGCAGCAGGAGGTAAGTGGGTTGAATGCTGTGACGAGTGATGTGGTGAGTGTGATGGATCAGGTGAGTGCACTGCTTCAGTATATGCCTCTCATCTCATACCACCCCTCATGCCACCTCTCACGCCATATCTCACGCATCTCCTTTTAGCATCCCCTGTCCTTCTACTATGTGAAAGGTGCAAAAACTTGCAGTAAGCGGAGAGAACTCAGCAAGACTTTGCACCCTCCCTCCCCTCTCTGCCCCCCCTCCGCTTCCCTCCCTCCCCTCCCTGCCCCCCCTCCGCTTCCCTTCCTCCCCTCTCTGCCCCCCCTCCGCTTCCCTTCCTCCCCTCTCTGCCCCCCCTCCGCTTCCCTTCCTCCCCTCTCTGCCCCCCCTCCGCTTCCCTTCCTCCCCTCTCTGCCCCCCCTCCGCTTCCCTTCCTCCCCTCTCTGCCCCCCCTCCGCTTCCCTCCCTCCCCTCCCTGCCCCCCCTCCGCTTCCCTCCCTCCCCTCCCTGCCCCCCCTCCGCTTCCCTCCCTCCCCTCCCTGCCCCCCCTCCGCTTCCCTCCCTCCCCTCCCTGCCCCCCCTCCGCTTCCCTCCCTCCCCTCCCTGCCCCCCCTCCGCTTCCCTTCCTCCCCTCTCTGCCCCCCCTCCGCTTCCCTCCCTCCCCTCCCTGCCCCCCCTCCGCTTCCCTTCCTCCCCTCCCTGCCCCCCCTCCGCTTCCCTCCCTCCTCCCTCCCCTCCCTGCCCCCCCTCCGCTTCCCTCCCTCCCCTCCCTGCCCCCCCTCCGCTTCCCTCCCTCCCCTCCCTGCCCCCCCTCCGCTTCCCTTCCTCCCCTCTCTGCCCCCCCTCCGCTTCCCTTCCTCCCCTCTCTGCCCCCCCTCCGCTTCCCTCCCTCCCCTCCCTGCCCCCCCTCCGCTTCCCTCCATCCCCTCCCTGCCTTCCCTCCCCTCCATCCCTCCCCTCCCTGCCCTCCCTCCCTTTTCCGTCTCGCCGCCCCACCAGGAGAGCGGAATCAACAGGAATCTTGAGGCGGTGTTTTCCGGCGCCAAGGGGCTTGAAGCTCCCCTTCCCATGAGGGGCAAGGCTGCGGCAGCAGAGCGAGAGAGAGTGGCAGGGCAGGACGAGGCGGTGAAGAGGGCTATGGAGGAGAGGGATGAGGCACTGCAATTGGCGAATGAGCGGCTGAGGAAGGTAGAGGAATTGGAGGAGATGGTGCGAAAGGCGGAAAAGAGGGCGGAAGGGTATGAATTGTTGCAGGAAGAAGCAGCAAGGAAGGTGCAAGAGGCGCAAGAAGAAGCGGCAAGGAAGGTGCAAGAGGCAAAGGAAGAAGCGGCAGCGGCGGGGGAGAGAGCGCGAGAGAGAGAGACGGGACAGGAGGAGGAGGGAAAGAGGGTTATGGAGCAGAGAGATGAGGCACGGCGACAAATGGGTGAGCTGGTAAGAAAGGTAGAGGAATCGGAGGAGGAGAGAGGGCGTGTGGCGGAGGAGGGAAAGAGGGCGAGGGAGGAGAGAGACGAGGCACGGCAACAAGTGGGTGAGCTGGTGAGAAAGGTAGAGGAATCGGAGGAGGAGAGAGGGCGTGTGGCGGAGGAGGGAAAGAGGGCGAGGGAGGAGAGAGACGAGGCACGGCAACAAGTGGGTGAGCTGGTGAGAAAGGTAGAGGAATCGGAGGAGGAGAGAGGGCGTGTGGCGGAGGAGGGAAAGAGGGCGAGGGAGGAGAGAGACGAGGCACGGCAACAAGTGGGTGAGCTGGTGAGAAAGGTAGAGGAATCGGAGGAGGAGAGAGGGCGTGTGGCGGAGGAGGGAAAGAGGGCGAGGGAGGAGAGAGATGAGGCACGGCAACAAGTGGGTGAGCTGGTGAGGAAGGTAGAGGAATCGGAGGAGGAGAAAGGGCTCGTGGCAGAGGAGGGAAAGAGGGCGAGGGAGGAGAGAGACGAGGCACGGCGACAAGTGGATGAGCTGGTAAGAAAGGTAGAGGAATCGGAGGAGGAGAGAGGGCGTGTGGCGGAGGAGGGAAAGAGGGCGAGGGAGGAGAGAGACGAGGCACGGCAACAAGTGGGTGAGCTGGTGAGAAAGGTAGAGGAATCGGAGGAGGAGAGAGGGCGTGTGGCGGAGGAGGGAAAGAGGGCGAGGGAGGAGAGAGATGAGGCACGGCAACAAGTGGGTGAGCTGGTGAGGAAGGTCGAGGAATCGGAGGAGGAGAAAGGGCTCTTGGCAGAGGAGGGAAAGAGGGCGAGGGAGGAGAGAGATGAGGCACGGCAACAAGTGGGTGAGCTGGTGAGGAAGGTAGAGGAATCGGAGGAGGAGAAAGGGCTCGTGGCAGAGGAGGGAAAGAGGGCGAGGGAGGAGAGAGACGAGGCACGGCGACAAGTGGATGAGCTGGTAAGAAAGGTAGAGGAATCGGAGGAGGAGAGAGGGCGTGTGGCGGAGGAGGGAAAGAGGGCGAGGGAGGAGAGAGACGAGGCACGGCAACAAGTGGGTGAGCTGGTGAGAAAGGTAGAGGAATCGGAGGAGGAGAGAGGGCGTGTGGCGGAGGAGGGAAAGAGGGCGAGGGAGGAGAGAGATGAGGCACGGCAACAAGTGGGTGAGCTGGTGAGGAAGGTAGAGGAATCGGAGGAGGAGAAAGGGCTCGTGGCAGAGGAGGGAAAGAGGGCGAGGGAGGAGAGAGATGAGGCACGGCAACAAGTGGGTGAGCTGGTGAGGAAGGTCGAGGAATCGGAGGAGGAGAAAGGGCTCTTGGCAGAGGAGGGAAAGAGGGCGAGGGAGGAGAGAGATGAGGCACGGCAACAAGTGGGTGAGCTGGTGAGGAAGGTAGAGGAATCGGAGGAGGAGAAAGGGCTCGTGGCAGAGGAGGGAAAGAGGGCGAGGGAGGAGAGAGACGAGGCACGGCGACAAGTGGATGAGCTGGTAAGAAAGGTAGAGGAATCGGAGGAGGAGAGAGGGCGTGTGGCGGAGGAGGGAAAGAGGGCGAGGGAGGAGAGAGACGAGGCACGGCAACAAGTGGGTGAGCTGGTGAGAAAGGTAGAGGAATCGGAGGAGGAGAGAGGGCGTGTGGCGGAGGAGGGAAAGAGGGCGAGGGAGGAGAGAGATGAGGCACGGCAACAAGTGGGTGAGCTGGTGAGGAAGGTAGAGGAATCGGAGGAGGAGAAAGGGCTCGTGGCAGAGGAGGGAAAGAGGGCGAGGGAGGAGAGAGATGAGGCACGGCAACAAGTGGGTGAGCTGGTGAGGAAGGTAGAGGAATCGGAGGAGGAGAAAGGGCTCGTGGCAGAGGAGGGAAAGAGGGCGAGGGAGGAGAGAGATGAGGCACGGCAACAAGTGGGTGAGCTGGTGAGGAAGGTAGAGGAATCGGAGGAGGAGAAAGGGCTCGTGGCAGAGGAGGGAAAGAGGGCGAGGGAGGAGAGAGATGAGGCACGGCAACAAGTGGGTGAGCTGGTGAGAAAGGTAGAGGAATCGGAGGAGGAGAGAGGGCGTGTGGCGGAGGAGGGAAAGAGGGCGAGGGAGGAGAGAGATGAGGCACGGCAACAAGTGGGTGAGCTGGTGAGGAAGGTAGAGGAATCGGAGGAGGAGAAAGGGCTCTTGGCAGAGGAGGGAAAGAGGGCGAGGGAGGAGAGAGATGAGGCACGGCAACAAGTGGGTGAGCTGGTGAGGAAGGTAGAGGAATCGGAGGAGGAGAAAGGGCTCGTGGCAGAGGAGGGAAAGAGGGCGAGGGAGGAGAGAGACGAGGCACGGCGACAAGTGGATGAGCTGGTAAGAAAGGTAGAGGAATCGGAGGAGGAGAGAGGGCGTGTGGCGGAGGAGGGAAAGAGGGCGAGGGAGGAGAGAGATGAGGCACGGCAACAAGTGGGTGAGCTGGTGAGGAAGGTAGAGGAATCGGAGGAGGAGAAAGGGCTCGTGGCAGAGGAGGGAAAGAGGGCGAGGGAGGAGAGAGACGAGGCACGGCGACAAGTGGATGAGCTGGTAAGAAAGGTAGAGGAATCGGAGGAGGAGAGAGGGCGTGTGGCGGAGGAGGGAAAGAGGGCGAGGGAGGAGAGAGACGAGGCACGGCAACAAGTGGGTGAGCTGGTGAGAAAGGTAGAGGAATCGGAGGAGGAGAGAGGGCGTGTGGCGGAGGAGGGAAAGAGGGCGAGGGAGGAGAGAGATGAGGCACGGCAACAAGTGGGTGAGCTGGTGAGGAAGGTAGAGGAATCGGAGGAGGAGAAAGGGCTCGTGGCAGAGGAGGGAAAGAGGGCGAGGGAGGAGAGAGACGAGGCACGGCGACAAGTGGATGAGCTGGTAAGAAAGGTAGAGGAATCGGAGGAGGAGAGAGGGCGTGTGGCGGAGGAGGGAAAGAGGGCGAGGGAGGAGAGAGACGAGGCACGGCAACAAGTGGGTGAGCTGGTGAGAAAGGTAGAGGAATCGGAGGAGGAGAGAGGGCGTGTGGCGGAGGAGGGAAAGAGGGCGAGGGAGGAGAGAGATGAGGCACGGCAACAAGTGGGTGAGCTGGTGAGGAAGGTCGAGGAATCGGAGGAGGAGAAAGGGCTCTTGGCAGAGGAGGGAAAGAGGGCGAGGGAGGAGAGAGATGAGGCACGGCAACAAGTGGGTGAGCTGGTGAGGAAGGTAGAGGAATCGGAGGAGGAGAAAGGGCTCGTGGCAGAGGAGGGAAAGAGGGCGAGGGAGGAGAGAGACGAGGCACGGCGACAAGTGGATGAGCTGGTAAGAAAGGTAGAGGAATCGGAGGAGGAGAGAGGGCGTGTGGCGGAGGAGGGAAAGAGGGCGAGGGAGGAGAGAGACGAGGCACGGCAACAAGTGGGTGAGCTGGTGAGAAAGGTAGAGGAATCGGAGGAGGAGAGAGGGCGTGTGGCGGAGGAGGGAAAGAGGGCGAGGGAGGAGAGAGATGAGGCACGGCAACAAGTGGGTGAGCTGGTGAGGAAGGTAGAGGAATCGGAGGAGGAGAAAGGGCTCGTGGCAGAGGAGGGAAAGAGGGCGAGGGAGGAGAGAGATGAGGCACGGCAACAAGTGGGTGAGCTGGTGAGGAAGGTAGAGGAATCGGAGGAGGAGAAAGGGCTCGTGGCAGAGGAGGGAAAGAGGGCGAGGGAGGAGAGAGATGAGGCACGGCAACAAGTGGGTGAGCTGGTGAGGAAGGTAGAGGAATCGGAGGAGGAGAAAGGGCTCGTGGCAGAGGAGGGAAAGAGGGCGAGGGAGGAGAGAGATGAGGCACGGCAACAAGTGGGTGAGCTGGTGAGGAAGGTAGAGAAATCGGAGGAGGAGAAAGGGCGCGTGGCAGAGGAGGGAAAGAGGGCGAGGGAGGAGAGAGACGAGGCACGGCGACAAGTGGATGAGCTGGTGAGGAAGGTAGAGAAATCGGAGGAGGAGAGAGGGCGCGTGGCAGAGGAGGGAGCAGAAGCAGCAGTAGCCCCAGCCCCTGCCCCAGCAGCAGCAGCGGCCGCAGCACAGGGCACAGCAGAGGGTACAGCAGCTGCAAACGAGGATGGAGAAGCAAGCGGAGGGGGAGAGAATGCGATTGAGGGGGCAGAAAGAGAATCAGAAAGAGGAAAAGGAGCACACGCTGCACCAGTAGCAGAGGTAGCAATTGCAGCAGAAGGAGAAGCACACTCCGCACCAGCAGCAGGGGCAGCATTTGGAGCTGCAGCAAGAGCATCAGGAGGAAAGGAGGTGGCAGCAGCAGCGGCAGGGTGGTAGTTGGAGGAAGGGGAGGTGCTGGAGTGGGAGGAGGGGGTGGAGGAAGGGGATGGGGCAGCACACTCCGCACCAGCAGCAGGGGCAGCATTTGGAGCTGCAGCAACAGCATCAGGAGGAAAGGAGGCGGCAGCAGCAGCGGCAAGGTGGCAGTTGGAGGAAGGGGAGGTGCTGGAGTGGGAGGAGGGGGGGGTGTTGGAGGAAGGGCAGGTGCTGGAGGGGGAGGATGGGGGGGTGTTGGAGGAAGGGGAGAAGGAGGAGAAGGAGGAGGAGCCATCGGGCGAGAAGCTTGCTTGCGCGCTGCAGCGCAGCTGGAGAGGCCTGATGGAGGCCGACAAGGTTGCTTGCGCGCTCGAGGCTGTGGGACGAGGAGCCGCAGCGTTCCTCAGCGGCACAGAAGACAAGCCCGTCAACGAGGAGTCATTGGGGCGGGCAGGAGACGAGGAGCCAGTTGCATGGCACGCCACGGCGGCACGGCGGCCCAACCCCAGGCCGAGAAGGCGACAGGAGTTGCGAGAGATTGCGAGGCAGCTTAGGAAGTTGAAGTCAGAGCCGGATAAAGTGAGCCGTCATGCACCCAAAACTGCACAGCAGCAGCAGCAGCACTACCAGCAGCAGCAGTGGCAGTGGCCAGCAGCAGCAGCAGCAGCAGCAGCAGCAGCAGCAGTGCCAGCAACAGCAGCAGCACTGCCAGCAGCAGCAGCAGCGAGCACAGCGAGCAACAGCGAGCACAGCGAGCACCAGCAGCAGCACAGCGAGCACCAGCAGCAGCAGCAGCACCACCAGCAGCTGCAGCAGGAGCGGCAGGAGCGACTGCAGCAGCAACTGGAGCAGCTGCCGCCGTACCAGCTGCTCCCCAAACTGCGCCAGCTGCAGAAGGAGCAGAGTCCACAGCAGAATGTGGTCAACCTTCCGGGTATCTTGAAGAGTAAGAAGCGGTGGCGGGTCCGGGTGTGTGTCCAAGGGACCGAAAGGGAGGAGAGCAGTTGGATGGAGGAGCTAGAGGCTGCGTGCTGGTCTGCCTTAACTCGCGTGCTGTTCACCGTTGAGTCCACGGAGAATGACACGGCTGAAATGTTACGCTATGTTAGCTGGATCCTCACCCCCGACGAGATCGACGCTCTACGCGCGGAGCGGAACAGCTTGACGTTCCTCGCTTTCTATGACCGCATCATTCACACAAGAGAGTATGCCAGAAAAAGCGAGTGGGGTCGCGAGTTTGAGCAAGGAAGCACTCTCTGGAAGTTGTGGCATCGGCACTGCCCGCTGAAGCTGCGGGTGCCAGTGTGAAGGTAGGTAAGGTAGGGCGGATTGGAGAGGGACAATGGGAGAGCGGGGCTGGGAGAGGGAGGCTGGGGGAGGAGGGGTCGGAGCAGGCCTCAAGATAGCAGGGTGATTTACTCTTACGACACTGATTATAAGGCTGGGTTTGGTTATGCTATGCACCCTTTTTTTCAAAATTCTATTTCCTTAGACCCTTATAAGAAAAAGTGTTTGGTTTCATAACACGATTTCTCAGAGTGGGACGCTGGCCCCTATATCAGCCTTTATACGGTATTTATTATCACCAAAACGGTATTTTTTTTCGTACATCATGCTTCGTGATATGCTGCAATCGAGGCAAGGGCAGGATACACTGGTACCGGTATCTGCATTTTGCTAAAGGTAACACCTCTCATCATCTGCTTTAATCCATATCACACATTCAATCCAAGGTAACATAACCGTAACCATGGGTATGCTCCGGAATCATACAAACCATGGTGCATGATAACACAATCAGCTACACCCTAGCCCCTGGGTCCCATCCCATGTTGGAGCATCACTTCTTGCAGAAGTCCATACAATTTTCGAACATGAACGTGAAATGGTCATCCTTATACGGGTCTCTTTTTCAACTTCCCGCAAAGTGCATGGTCATTTTCTGGATGAGACGCAACCATATGCGTGCCTGATGATTGATGAGTATAGGCCTCAATGAATATCCGAACCTCGGCCGGCGTGCTTGGGCCCAAAACCTGCGAGGCAGTGAAGCTGTAACCCTTGAGCCGATCACCCCTGGTACGTGTGATGTTCACCCATGCACTACCTTCATATCATGCCTCAAACTTGCCAGCAAGGCAATTCGAAACGGTGTCGACCAAGAGCACAGCCCCTTCAGGCCGGACTTTGTTGACTCGTATCTTGATCACAACGTAGTTGGCACTTGCAGAGGCCCTGTTGATAGAACTGGAGCTGAACTGATTGATTGATAAAGAAGGCACTAGGCCAGTGCCCTAAATATCAGACTTTTTAGTCTGATTCAGAGTCCGTTCAGGCTTTTTTTTGTGTACCTAGTCTGAAGTCTAAGATTTTTTTTGTGTACCTTGTCTGTTTTTTCAGGGTTTGTTTTTATGAGTTGTCTGAAATTTCAGCCTAATTTCATTAGTGAAGGCTGAGCCTCAGACTTGTATCGGGGGTGCACTCTGAAACCAGTAGTACAGGGGTTTCCGCCAGCCTGGCGGCGTGTATTACTTCGGCCAAAAAATCGTGCTAGTTGTCACCCATTTTCACCCGATCTGATGTTGGCACGTACAACCGGGTGGGCCAAGTGCCACGCAGCTGAGCTGGCAGCAGGCAGAAACGTGTGTGAGCACTTGGCAGTGCCGCATGAAACCTTCACTACGAATCAGGAGGAGCTTCCCAATTTCACAGCAGTGCGCCACAGTGCCCACGCGAGTGCGATCACAGCAGCGCGCCACAGTGCCCACGCGAACAAAAAGACAGCCACACGGGGTGGGGAAATGATTACGCATGGGAGGGGGGAAGTGGGGGGTTACTTATCGGAACTTCGAGGAAGATTCGTCTCGATAACTTTGCTTCAGGGACTAGCATTGAAACTGGATGGTTTGATTCGTCTGATGCAGCTTCAATGCTATTATAACTGTGCTTTTACGAAACTGCATGATCATCTAAACATTTGAAGGTAACTCTGACAGTTCAGACAAAAAAAGTTGTGCTTCTCTGAATTTTCAGACTTAAATTTTGAGGCACCTCTGACAGACAGAGTTCCAGGAGGGGTGTACTCTGATCGATCAGAGTGCCTCAAAACGAATCTAGGGGCCTGCACTAGGCCTTAAGTACAAACACGGTTGGGTTGAGCAAGGCTAGGGAAAGGATGGGATGGGAATCCTAGCAAATCTCCAATTGGTGAGTTGGCAGATTTGCAGGATTACGAGGGAATCCCAACCAGATAGGGTTGGGATTACAAATCTACACCCAACCTACAAAGTAACCTTAAACCATATAAAATAGAGTACACAATGTGTTGACAGCCTATTTCTAACACACCCCCTAGGCTGTAACACATCAGCCACAGGGAGGCCCAACACCCATGGCCGAGAGGAGGCGGTAATGGTCCTGGCGAACAAGTGACTTGGTGAACAAGTCAGCAAGGTTACAGTCGGAGGCAATGTGGTCAGCCTTCAGCTGCTCGCGCTGCACGAGCTCACGAAGAAAGTAATGGCGGACCTCAATGTGCTTGGTGCGGCCGTGGAAGACTGGGTCATTGGTGAGATGTATGGTGCTCTCGTTGTCACACCAAAGCGTGGGGGTTGGTTGAGGATACCCGAGTTCGGCGAGCAAGAAGGAGAGCCAACGGGCCTCCTGGGTAGCCATGGTCCCGGCATATAGCTCTGCCTCACATGTAGACAGTGAGACGGAGGACGAACGAGTGGCGCGCCAACTCACAACCCCGCTGCCAAGGGTAAAGCAATACCCCTGAGAAGAGCGCCGATCACTCTGGTCATCAGCGTAGGAGGAGTCACTGTATCCCTCAAGACGAACAGGGAAAGAGCCGCCAAGAGTGAGTACATAGTCCTCTGTGCCTTTGAGATAGCGAAGGACTCGCTTGGCGGCAGAACAGTGGTGGCGAGTATATCACCAGGTGCAACGTAGCGAGACAGGACACTGACTGGGTAGGCCAAGTCTGGCCGAGTGCACATCATCGCGTACATGAGGGATCCAACGAGCTCGGGGTAGGGCTCGTCACAGGGCTCAGGTGAGGGAACAGAGGGCGCAGTAAGCTGGTGCTGCAGAGAGAGTTGGGTAGGCATTGATGTTGCATCCTGCATCTTGAACCACGTCATGACGTTGTTGATGTAAAACTTCTGTGAGAGGGTGATGGTGCAGGCCGTGCGATCACGTGTGATTTCCATGCCCAAATAGTTCGTCAGCTTCCCAAGATCCTTCATGGCCAACTCGGCCTGATCCTTGGTGACAAGGATCATGTCGTCAACATAAACTAGGATGAAGAAGCGGGATGGGGTTGCTCGGATGAAGAGGGTGGGGTCAGAGGTGGAGGGGTGGAAGTCGAGAGACCCTAAGGTGCTCTTGAGCTTGTTGTGCCATTCCCGGGGTGCTTGCTTGAGGCCATACACTGGCCGATTCAGCTTCCATAAAGTGTCTGGTGGGAATGGGGCTGGAAATCCTTCGGGCCGCTCCATATAGATGTCTTCTCGAAGGACCCCTTGAAGAAACGCAGAAGACACATCCATGCTCTCAACCTCCATGTCATCTCGAGCGGCAACATCAAGAAGGGTGCGTAGTGTGGGAGGTTTGGCGGTGGGAGAGAAAGTTGCAAAGAAGTCAAGTCCTTCCTTTTGGGTAAATCCCTTGGCACAGTACCGGGCTTTGAAGACAGGAAATTCGCCTGGAAGTTGTTTGACCCAGAAAACCCATTTGCCCTTCACGATGTTGACGCCAGAGGGAGGAGAGACATCTGTAAAGGTTCCTGTGTGAATGAAGGCCTCACATTCTGCGACAATGGCCCCTAGCCACTGGGCGGCGTGAGGACCTGAAACTGCTTCAGCATAAGTGAGAGGTGTGGGGATGGAGGGGTTGTCTGAGAAGTTGAGGGTGGGAGAGTCTGCGATATCCGGAAAGAGGGAGCAGAGCGCGTGTATGGCTGAGTCGATGTCAATCAACTCCTCATGTCTGTCCTCAAGAAGGGAGGGCATGAGCGAATAATCACCCCCGACAGGAGGAGGATTGAGAGAGACACGAATGGAAAGGGAAAGAGGCTTGGGAGTTTTGTGCGAGCGGGTGCGACCAGTGATGGGGGAGGGAGGCGGAGCTGGAGGAGGAGAAGCAGTAGGTATAGTGGCAGCATCAGGAACAGCAGTTGGATCAGGAGCAGGAGCTAGATCAGGAGCAAGAGTAGCAGCAGGAGGACGGCGTTGGTAGGTTTTGAGAGGAATGGGCTCGGGGGCGGGAAGGAGCGGGGGAGACTGCGTGGTGCTGGAGGGGGATGCGGGTGACGGGGGGTCGGAAACGGTGGAGGGAGCGGGAAGAGGAGGAGATGGAGTGGTGGCAGGAGGAAGACTGTCAAAGTCAGCCCAAGTAAGAGAAGGAGGCGGAGGAGAAGGGGAAACCTTGGAGGAGGGGTAGAATGGGTGGGATTCATCGAAGAAAACATCTCGGCTGCGATAGAGTTTGTTGGTGGTAGGATGGAGGAAGAGGTAGTCTGGCGAGTCCGAGTTGTGCCCGAGGTACACGCACGTGATTGTTTTTGGAGCAAGCTTGCCGCCAGCTGCACGACGGGCTTGGGAGTTGAGGAGGACATAGGAAGTTGTGAAAGATAGAACGAGGGGGGCTTGGTCTACCCCACTACAGCCTAAACAGACTATGTCATATAAGTTTGACACACCCCCATAGGCAAAGTGGGGGAGAACAAGAGGTCACAAGACCAGTCAAGAAAAGCAAAGCAAGCTCAGGGTGGATCACGAAGTCACCACGCATTCTGAGCACAAGCAAATGGCCACAAGGCCAGTTCACATGCAGAGTTATATAAAGGAGAACAAGCAATACAGTGATCACAACCTAGAAAGTTTAAGCATGCAGGTATATGTATAGAGATCACAGTACAAGGAAAGTCAAGAAGTGAGCAAGTGAGGCCAGGTGGGCACAAGGCCTAGAACAGTACAGAAACGCTGATGATCACAAGGCTGAAGTGCCTTGGTGAAGATATCAGCAGTGTTGGCCTGAGTGGCCACGTAAGCAAGACGAAGCTGACCACGCTGCTGCAACTCTCGAGCAAGGAAGTAGCGCAGAGCGATGTGCTTCGTTCTGTGCTCCAGTCTGTGCTCCTGACACAAGGCAATCATGGCCTTGTTGTCGACGTACAGAACTGGAGGAGAACGAGGCGGCTCTCCCAGGTCGGTCAGCAGGTAGGTGAGCCAGCGTAACTCCTGTGCAGCCATGGCCCCTGCGTAGATCTCAGCCTCACAACTGGAACTGAGAACAGAAGACGA